TAATGAATGAAGACATTGTATAATCATAGTTATATACTGAAACAGCAAATTTTCAAATGTATATTTACATATTGCACACAACAAAATGCCAAAGATAAAAAAAAAATACTTAAATAGCGTGAAAAGAGGGAAAAAAATGATTTTCTCATCATGTATTTAACCTTGTTTTTTGTGCTATAAAACACAACAAATATGGAAAATTATTCAACAAACAGCCTACTAGGGTATATTGTTTCCAGGTTTCCAAAACATATAATCTGTTTATACTGACATCTAGTGTACATTTGTAATAGTATAAAAAAAAAGAAAGAAAAAAGCTGTAATCCTGGCACTATCGTTCCCTCTGCCTCCCCCCTCCACCGTGGTAAAGGGTTTAAAACCCTTTATTTAGTTAACTGATCTCAGCACCGATGGCCTTCGGTACAGTGTTGCACTTTTGCCTCCTCCGACATCACATGACGAAAAGTTTGTTAGGATCCAGGAATCACCTCCAGTAGCTGTCTAGTAGACAGCCACTGGAGGCAGACTTAGGGATGCAATGTTTTACATTGCAGCACTAAGTGCAATAGGGACACTGCTCCAGCTGCAACAAAAAAAAAAAAACTTGCATAAAAACCAGGCCCAGACTGGCCATCGGTCAAACGCCCGGTGGGCCGCGATGTCCATGGGCAGAGGCTGGCAGGGGAGATCACAGGATCTCCTGTCAGCCCCTGCAGGGCCAGCGCTATTCGAGCGTCGGCCCTACTGTGTGCCTTAATGGGCCGGTGGGGAGATCAAAGATCTCCCTCTCTGTCCCACAGGCATTTTACTGGGCAGCCGGGAGGTAGGAGGGAGGAGAGAGAGGACCCGGGAGCTCTATCTAGAAGCTCCTCCAGGTCCTTCCTCTCACGAGGTCAGAGCGTTGCCGTGGATCTCGCAAAACTAAACTCACCACGGGACCACCATGGCTGCAATCTCCCGCCTCCCAGGGCAAAGGTAAGAAGGGAGGGGGGGAATATAACTAAAAAAAAAAAAAATAATGAAAATGCACATAAGTAGCCATGTATTTAAATACATGGTTTATTTAAAAAAAAAAAAAATGAATATATATATATATTTGCCTAGATCTGCACCCTCACACAAACAAACAAGTGTACCCTTTGTACATATGCTGCACCACACACACACTGCCCCCTCACACAAACATTGCACCACAAACAAACACAGTCGTGCATCCTTCACACACACACACACACTGCACTCCTCAACCAGTGCTCACCACACACACTATTCCTTATATACACACAACACCACTTACTTACACACACACACTACATTCCTTGTAAACACTCTAGTTCCTCTACATACATACACACAGGATTCTCTACACATACAAAAGATCCCCTATAGACACACTGTGCACCCCCCCACACACACACACTACACCACTTATCTACACTACATCCCTTGTAAACACTCTGGATCCTCTACACACACACACACACACACAAAAGATCCCCTAAAGACACACATTGCGCCACCTACACACACACAAAAGATCCTCTATAGACACACATTGCGCCACCTACACACACATTACATTTCTGACGTACACACTCCCCTATGCACAGACTAGATGCTCCACACTCAAACACGCACACTACATTCCCTAAACACACACACTTTACAATTCATACACACACTACATCACCTACAAACACACACACTCACAATTTTCAGTCCCTAGCCACACATATTACACCACAAACACATCACAACTGAAACTGACCAATTTATATAAAACACCACACCACAATAAGCTCACTCTACAAACACGCAATTCCACAAGCCACCGCCAAACACATGAACAATTCACTTTCCTTGCCATTTTGTCCCACTTATGGAGACACCAGAGACAGAACAAATACAGGGCCTTTTTCTCATGCCAGAGCTCTTCAGCAGAGCTCTGCGCAAGGGCTGCCCTGGAAGAGCATTGAACCAACATGCTTTGAGAGGGGGCGTGTTTATCATTGCTGATTACAAAATGGCACCTCTCTTGATTTCACTATGCAACACCAGACTTTTTTAATTATTGTCCCCCTTACTCTCTCTACTTTAAAGAGACAGTCACCAGAACTTCGGCTTAATGGAGATGTTCTGGTGAGTATAGCAATGTCCTTGCAGGCCTTTTAATGTAAACACTGCCTTTTCAAAGAAAAATGCACTGTTTTCATTGTTCCCTGGGGCTACCTTCAGCAGCAGTCACTCTAGGTGCTTCCTGGGTCATGCAGCACAGACATTCCAATTTTCCCCATAGAGATGCATTGAATGTGGAGGAGATGCTGATTGGGGCAACGTTTTGCCATGCATGCACAATAGCATTGCAATGCTTTCCTATGGGAAAGCATTGAATTGGCTGAGATCATCACGTTTGATATTCTCAGACAAAGGGGTGGAGGCAGTTGAAACCAGACCTAAACGGCCCAGAAAGAGGAGAGTAAAAACCACCCTTTTAACCAGAGGTTATATTTCTGTTCTTAGTTATACATGTTAAACCTTAATAAAAACATTTTTTGCAACACTTACAAATAGAACAATGTCGTGATATTTATGTCTGTAAAAACCCATTCTGAAACAAGAGTGCATCCTATTTATTGTACATTTCATTGTTGTGAAGCATTACGACATGCTAGAATTGGATTGACTTGCAGATTGTTGCGAACTAAATTTTCAGTAATTCTTAGCAAGTGCTGTACAAGTTAGCTTGATGGTAGTTGAGAGGAACCTACAGTCCCACAATTAAAACATTTTTTTTTTCTCTCAGGACTAGAAGTTCCCTGCCATTTCTGTGAGCACTGTCCAACCCCATCTGCTGTCGCAAAATTTAGTGGTAATATATTTTACTCACCTTGTTTCCAGAGTCAAGAAAATGTTGCTGCAGCCACCCACTCCACCTCCCGGTCTTTTCGTCCAATCCAGTGCTTCTCATAGAGACAAGAAGCCCATGTGCTAAAAATAAAATCATGCAGTACTCATCTAATCAAATGCTCCCTATGAGAAGTATTGAAGAACCAAGTCTGTCATATCAGTGGATTCACCCTCAAGTTTCAAGTAGACAGCCATCACAGAATAGAAACATTGCCATATACACAAAAGGAGCATTTATTTACATTGCAGGACTAAAACTACAGGGCCCCTTCATACATACCACCTTATTGAGAAGTAGTTTGGGTGCCTAAAGTGGTGCTTTAACAATCATTTGATTTTGTAGATATTAGATCCCACTAAATTCGGCAGGTGTCTGGCTAAGCATGCTAGAAGTTGAAACCCAAACCAAGGGACACCAATTAAATTAATGGGTCTTCTAGTTTGTAATCAACTAAACTCAATCCTATGGTATATTTTAAGTGGTGCAGCTTTTTTGTGTGTATTCTATTTAGATGTATTTTATTCTAATCTACCTAAAAGTAGTTCTGACTTTAAATAAACACTGTAGTAACAATAATCACTTCAACTTATTTAAGTGGTTATAGTTCTGGACTCTATTGGTGCAACGTCTTGAATCAATGCTAAATAGTTTGCTTACCATTTAGCAAAGATTTTCAGTTCTCTGCAGCCTGTCCTACAATGACAAAAAGACTGGACTAGTCTAATTTCTAAACACATATAAAGCCCTGGTATAGATTGGTATGGTGTGAAATTTAGATTAGATATCACACATTTAATTAAAGTTTGGGGAGTAGGCTGACTAAGAACATGCTAAAGAGTGAGTAAGCCATTTAGCAGAGACGTGTAGGTCTCTTGCCACATCAATATCCCATCCCAACTTTTATGACTAGGGTAAGCTTAAATCATAGCTAAAAGAGTTTAGAAAAAAATACGTGACTAAGAGTGTGAACAAGGACAGCTCTACTAGGTGCCATTTTGTTAGGGAGGGAGCAGATATCCATCAGTCCATAATAAAGTACAATTTAGCTATAACAAAACACAAAGTCCAAGGGCTTTAAACATATTTACAACTCATATAAAGTGTTCTGCAACATTGCTCTTGAGTGTATAATCTAAACCAGGTTTTCCAATTTAGTTTTTCACATGAAACCCTTGTACCTACATCGAGAAACCGCAAACTTTTTTTTTTTTTTACACTCTAGCACCACCTTTTAATGAGCTATAGTATCTTCAAAGTTTTTTTTTGCATGTTGTGTTAGTGTTTGATTGCTGGGATGCATTCACATAAGCACAGACACACATATACACACAATCTGACAAACACATACATGTTAAAATGTTTATATTTGCAGCCAACCCCCTGTTACCTTACTTTTGTGTCCAGGAGAATGAGTTCTGGTCCTGGCTAAGACTGATGGGAGTGAGCATGCAGCAGTTCACTCCAGCCTTTTGTGCCTCCATGCTGCTGTATGAGCCACTGCCTCAGCCTCCTTCCTCACTCCATTCCTCCTGCGCAGCTCGCTCTGTGAAGCTTAAAGAGCCGTGGCACCCAACCTTGCCCCTGTTCAGATATAATACCAATCTGAGGGCCCTAAGTTCATGAGCCAACCAGAGGGGCAAATCGCTGCAGAACCCCAAATTTTGTTCTCACTGGATTCCGTGAAACACCAATTTGGAAATGCTGATCTAAACCATTGATTAGCGCAAACGTGTTCCTTTTTAATTTCCTCCCTACAACCTCATTCTTAGCAATGTCCCTGCAGTGTTAACACTGCCTTATATGTTTTCTAGAGATACATCTATTGCCAGTCATACATATCAGAGGTGCATCCTGGTAGTTTTGCAGGACTACTAGACATCTACACGCTTTGCATGAAGATGCCGAATGCTCCTCACAGACTGAGGTAATGCATGTTTATGAAGACATGCTGATTGGCACAGTGCAGCAAAGCATTGAATGATCGAGAACACAGTCATTGAGGATGGCAAGATCCCAGGGAGAAGCTGAGGGCACAAGTGGCATTGTAAAACCTTGGTGCAAAGGATACATACATATAAATAAGAGAACTTTAAATCACAATAATTTATTCTTTTTAAATAGCAATGTAGGTACACTAGTGTAAGTTTGGCACAGAACCATCAAATGAAAATACTGTAAAAACATGTAATCTTAATTATTTTATTAGGAAACAAAGACATTGGTTGTTTGTTTTTAAAGAAAAAAAAAATATTAAAACATGTAGATCAGATGTGTGGCAGCTCCCACAATACTTTAGAAGACTAGGTCTGAGAATTAAGGGAGTTATAGAACCACACATATGAGACACTATTAAAAACAATTGCTCTCAAAAACAAAAGAAAAAACGCACATTCCCAAACACTACTCCAGTTTTTGAGTTGTATTGCATAATGGTTATTGAACAGTTGACACAGCATGTATTGCAACTTTTGCTGTAACATTTAAATAGGATGGTGTGCCTCATATATAGAAAATTGTAACAAACCACAGCACTGCTGAAAAATATCCTGTGTTATTTTCTGGACAGCTTTAGATGTCAAGATTTCATTTATTTAAAAAAAAAAAAAAATAGAAAGATATACGATGGTACAAACATTTCCAGCTACCAAAAAGTGTGGTAATGTAATATTTATTTTGCAATAATTATAATAAAAAAACACAAATATATAATCAGACATACGGTAGCGCTGAGGCAACCATGTTTTTTTTTATCCTTTTAACTTAATATAGAAGACTTGTTGCAGACTGTAAAAGACAAAATATGAGTTGTCAGTATATTTCACAAAACGTTTGGCTGAATGTAAACCTCTATATAATCCAGGTAAATGGCACCCCTGGTATACAGGATTGCATATTTCATCTACAATAAATTGCTATAAATACAACCCAATGCAAAATAAAAAAAAATAAAAAAACTCTCACTCAAAACCTTTAATTAAAGGTCAATATGTTCAAGATAAAACAATCTACTTCCAATGCATAGCATTGCCATGCTGGTTATTTACGCAACAACGCCATCTAGTGTAAAGGATGTGAATGAGCATTGGTATGTGAATCTCTGCTGTCTTGAATAAAAGAAAAACCAAGTGGACAGCACTACCAAAAAGTTTTACATGATTTTCCAAGGGTAAAAATGAAAGATAACAGGAACAGTTTCTCTCCTTCAAGATGTCCACTTTCCTCAGGAAAGTTCTAGTGATTTACATGCCTTTCATTGTTGATAGTTTCCATACTGACCCTAAAATGTGCAAAGTGTTGGAAAATGTTAGAAACACTGTGCATAAGTAAGTTGGCAAGAAAAAAATAAAAGCAGAAAAAAAAAAAGAAAATCGTTTATGTAGTTTAAAACATACAGGTAAATCCATGACCATGAACTCAACTACTGACAACTCTTCAGATTTAAATTCTCTCTTCTGTATTTGCACAACGTGGCCAGTAAATGTAAAGTAGGCTTTTGGGGCAGCACAGTAACGTACTACTGTCCAAGCACAACTTGTTCTGAAACTGTCAGGGCTATTCACTCAATTCAAAGTCAACATCGCTAAACTGGAAGCATTCTCTAACTTCGCTATGCTTTTTGACTACTTTGACCTTAAATTTGAACTCTCACTAAAGTGAATAACCCAGTGTATGTTCATAACACCCAACAATTTGTCTTTTCCACCTCTCTTCCAAAATGCCCAACAGCTACATCATTAAGATCTGTATAGAGGTTAGAAACCACACAAACTTCTGTTCATCACACTAGATCTCTTCAGGGTCTTGGAAATCATTCAATTAACCACAACCTACATTCAGAATTTCACATTTTGCATGTGTACTTTGTATTTTACTTAATCCAAAACCTTTTTGATAATGGGTTCTTTACAAAAGTGTGAATTGTGTGGCTTGAACAGGGATTTAAAAGCTTAGGCCTAAATAACTGAGCCAGCGAAACAAAATGCAGTTATTCAGTCTGACTACACTGCACTTAAAATCACCCATATGAACAATGACAACTCAGGGTTTAATGACTAACCCTGTTAATATTTTGTCTGAAGAAATATAAACCCTGAAATATTTAAGAAAATGTATTGTGACAATGTTAAAGATTAAACAGGCGCAACTAGAAACCACGGTTATACCGTGCGGGCCAGAACACATGGCCGAGGAGCACCCGGTCGCAGGGGTCCGCATGTGCGGTCGGGCCCCCTGGAGTGATGGGCCCGGTCGCAGCTGCGACCGCGGTAGTTCCGCCACTGAATATAACCATAGCCATAAACTAGTTTACACTATAGAAAAGTTTACCTGATCATATCCATAAGGCCTTTGTTGTTGTGGCTGTGGGGGTCCTGGCTGTGAAGGTCTGTATTGCACGTACTGCTGACCCTGTCCTTGAGGGTAATTAGGATACTGTTGCCCTGAACCACTCTGAGAAGGCGCTTTAAACAGAAAAGAATAGTGGATTTAAGTTGTTAAACATTGGAAAATAATTTAAATATAATACCAAGTGTAATCATACAAGTGAAGATGCAACACTCAAAGATACTATTTTACTGTTTTTCGTCACGGTAGCACCCCTTCCCTCACCCCATCCTTTCATTTTTAAATTAACTATGAAAATTGTTAAAATAAATGTGTACTCAGAAACCTGTGAACCTTTGGCATAGCATGTTTTTATTGCATGAAATACAGTGCTTCAGATTTATTTTTTCCCAAGCTCACTTGTATACATCTTATAATTATATATACATACACTATACTCTTTTTTCCTTACTATTATTGTAACTTGAAACTGAAATGTTAAGCAACAGTTTCATCATATCGAAAAAATTATTATAAATAAATGCTTTCAGATAAGTATGTTAGGTTGCATGGCTCTACCATTATAGATCCACTTCTACCTAAAAGAAAACAAGTGGAAAACTAAAGTATGAAATAAACTTGCCAGTCTAAAGTAGCAGACAGTGTAACCTATATTACATTATAATTACATATATTAAAGTAATTAAGCAAATTGTTATTAATGGTACAGTTATAAAAACTGTAGAAACAAGGAGAATCACATGTGAAAAAAACCTTCCCACCAACAGTTGCAATTTTGATGGTGTCTAAAATTACAAGACGAACATTACAGTTTATTGAAGTGCATCACAGCCTATGAATATCATTAGAAATATTAACTAAAATGTGAATTTCACTTTTTAGGCCACAATAATGAAATTGTAAAACATGTCCTTGTCACCTATGGCTCCAGTTCAGCTACTTTGTACTATTTATGTTTAAATTCACTTTGAATTCCTGAGAATTTACACTTTAATAACCCTGTGTGTCAATGTAAGGTTTAAGTCCAGGGCATGATAAATTCACTGTCCGGTTGCTATGGGGACAGAAAATTAGCACCAGGTGCCCAAAATTTGCATCAGACAAATCAGAACAAAAGATCTCTCCATGATTGGCTCCCCTTGCATGCATATAATTATTATTCCGCTCTCCTCCCATGGAGTTCACTGCTGTTGGCAGTGAGGACGACGACATTGAAGGCTGCAATATCAACAACACTATATGTTTAACAGTGCACAGTGAATAGGGAGAAAGGGAAGGGCTACGGTAACCTGAAGCTTTCCCTCCTTGCTCTGCCTTGTCCTGGAATTCAGCACCAGACATAGCTTACAGAAGCCATGTCATTTGTACACACATGGTCTATGGCAGGCACAGCAAGATCCTCCACTGACCACCTTGCAGATGTGCAATGAAACACCCGTCTTCATAAGTCAGTGCAAGGGACATCTGGTGGAAAGCTGCAAGATCCCAGAAGTGGAAGCCAAGTGAAGATATGTATTTTGCCAGAAATCATCTAAAAAGGTTATAGTTCCTACTTCGCCTAAAGCATCTCCTCTGATTTCCAGAGCAAGAGGAACACTTTGAGGAGAAAAAGAGAGGAGAAAGAAGAGGTTAAAAGAAAGAACACTAGTATCACTTACCATAACTTTGCTGCTGACTTGGATAGCCTTGCTGGCCAGCATATTGCTGCTGTTGAGGAGGGTAACCTTGCTGTTGTTGCTGCTGCTGCTGCTGCTGAGGTGGCCCCTGATAAGATTCCTGCTGTTGACCATACTGTGCATTTCCTGATTGAAAAAACAAAAAAGTATTAACAACAGGTTTATACATGTCCTTAGAAAAGTCACACCCAACAACAACAACAACAACAACAACAACAACAACAACAACAACAACAACAAAAAGAAAATTAAAAATCCAGAAAACAAGTTGGGAAAAAAATACAAAAAAATACAAAAAAAAAACACCCATTAAAAGCAAACACAAAAATAAATAAAGTGAACCCATAAACTGAAAGCTAGTTTTGCAAGTTTGGACGGCAGGTAGTTTTCAGCATCCCTGGCAAAAGAGTAATACACTTATTGGATTATCACAGTACAATGACTATGATCGCAAATAAAAATAAAATAAAAATAAATAAATTTCAGACAAAAGTTTAAAAGACAGGTCAAAGAGCACAGACTAGCTACACAAGATCAGCAAGCTGGTACCTACAAATAAAATGTGTGCATGTAAATATAACGCTGTGGAACAAGCAATGGGATCTGTTTGTTAGTTTTATTTCCTGCTGAGAACTTTCGTTAGGAGACTAAACCATGCCTGAATTCAAAGAGAACTTTTCTGAAGTGTCTGTAAGTAATGTCTAGCACAATCCTTGCAGTTTGATTTTGTACGTGTTTTTTGTAGGACAGCTGGCATGTATTCTGTAACAGTTTTTGTGTGGTTGTGTTTTGTGAAAGACTTTAAATTCAAGTGATTGCAGGAGGAAGAAAATAAAAAATAAAAAAAGATTGATATGCATGTGCTGTGTGCGTGTGTGAAGGTATATAGATACCTCCTTCGTAGTAGTGTTGTGAGGAATCCTCGTAAGGCCTATCGTAGCCCTGTTCAGGATACGACGGTTGCTGATAACCGTAATCATTATGACCTACATCAATTTGACAAGAAAAGACGCATATAATTAGTTTTAATTATGTTAGCTCACGATTTATAAGAATATATCACATCTGATTATTTTTATTTTTTTTATAAGAAGCATACAGCAATCTGTGAAGCAAATAATGGATGGTAAACACTCCATAATTATACTTTTGATCAGTATGATATACATTGCTCCTATAAAAAGAGGACTAGGGGTAAATAAGGTCTTGGGTAAATAAAATCAGAGAAATCATGATGTCTAATTCAAAGAGAACAACTGAAACAGAACAGGTGTATCTCTCTCCAAAAAGGCTAATTTAAGAGTGGGAAAAGAAAAAAGGAAAGGGGAAAAAAAAAAAAAAGGAAGGGGTGTTTTCGAACATACTAACTGTAATATCTCTTTGGAATGTTTGTTCTAGGAGGAATTCAAGGCACTTATTTTCAATTACTTTAGCAGTAATAATGTAAACAGAGTAGCTAACTGATGCACAGCCAACGTACATAGTAGTTTTATGACCTTTGTAAATAAAAATTCACCGTTTTAATTGGACCCCCTTCTCACCCCTCCCACAGTCCAACAAAAAATTAATTTACACAGAGAAGGCACACAATTTTTTCTTTGCAATACAGGCAACAACATGATCACCAGACATAGAAACACAATGATGCAACACATGCGAGGCCATCACACAAATGTTTACACCAATTCAATTCATATAGATTTAACAAGTGCTAAATCAACTACAGGCGGAATCACAAACATGCAACAAAGAGGGCCATTAATAATGTAATTCAATTTAAGATTACTCGCTGAAGGGCAACAATGTTCTATGTTAACATATAAGGTGGTCTAGTGGTAAAACAAATGCCATTGCCACCTACCCTGAACACAAAAGTAAGTTGAAGATGAAACCTTGAGTTTTTAAAAGCAGACTGGAAAAACTGATGGGTTTTACAACCACTTATCACCAGACTTTAGCAACTTGAGACTTTAAAGCATTTGATGTAGCACCATACTAATGGAAACAACCATAATGAATCAGATAGAACTGTTGGGAATAATTTAAACCAAACTGCCAACTTTACATCTGCAATTTTTAAGCAGCAGTCTGATAAGGACATAAATTATCCTCCAGAAGACTGTATCATAAACAAAAAGAATAATTAGTCAAAAAATAGAACAGGCCCTATATATTGGGAGAGGCAGGGGGTGTCCCAGAACAGGTAATAAATGTTGACATATAGAAATGATAACCACTAAGAAGTGTCATAGTATTGCATATTGTCATTATTGGGGGGTAACTTAATTAACATTAAGTAATAAAATTATTCCTTTAAATGTAATAACATTTCCTACATTTCTCCATTAAATTTAAAGGAACACTAAAGGCTGGGTGCAGTGGTCATTTGGTCTGACCTTTGGCACTTGCTGTGAGAACTAATTCAATCTAAATTCTCACAGCTAACCTCCAACAGGAGCACAGTGTTGCAGCGCATGCACTTTTATTCCCCAATGCTCCTCTCTGACGAGCATTTGATTGGATTGTTAGAAGCATTGGCATGACATCAGTGGGAAAAATTAAACCCTCCCTACCACCCCAATTTTTATTCAGATTTGTGGGATGGACAACCTTTTTGACCTATGATAGAACGTGGCAAACTGTGAATTTAGATTTTAGAACAATCACAGAGAATTAATTCAGATTGCCCAAAAAGGATTTGCAGCAAACCCCCTAGTGCCATATTCAGCTGATCATATAAGTTCCAACTAGAATTAAACTCTAATGCATCCAGGTTTCAGAGGATCCCAACGTTTAACAAAGTAGTCCGTTCTCTTCCCTACATCCACTCGTCAAGTTTCTTCTTTCAGGCTGCCTTCAAACTGGATTCTTCCACTCTAATATCTCATAGGACTTTGCTTCCCTCTTGACCCCTTTCTTAAATATTGCGTATTACCACCAAGCAATTCTATGATAAAACATAGTGGGCCAATCTAACTTCTACTTTGCACAACCTCCTTATACAAGTCTCCCATTTGTATCCATATGCAGAAGAACAGCAGGCTTCTCTTCTATGACACAGAACAAACACTTACCTCTCATCGCACCCTAAATATTCAATATTCCAGTCTACAGATAATTACTGTAAATATCTCAGACCCTCCAAAGTGCTGTGAGGTGGTCAATTTTAAACATTCTTTGAACAAATCTTTTTTTTTTTTTCCAAACTACTATTAAATGAATATCAAGCAGCCAAAGCAAATGCTAGCTTTCTGCATACAATTTAAGAGGAGACACAGAAAGCAAGTGAATCTCATTCGATAAGATGTCACTGTAAAAGTGGTATGTCGCACACAGATTCTATTTTATTTTTTTTAGATATACTGACTGTCTACCAATTACCCAGGCTCCCAATGGTCAATCTCCAATACATTATGTAGTGAGATTATCTTCAATAGTATGTTTTGTCCTACAGGAATAGGATTGATATAGACAACTAAAAATTCAAGTTTATAAACTAAATGGAAAAAAAAGTTTTAGAAGCAAGATGGGCGTCAAAACAAGCCACAGGAGACCCATGGAGGAGAGCAAAGTACAAAAGTTTTGCCCATTACTGGGAAATGTGACAAGGGTACTCCTGGTATAATAACCAGTCCAGTATACTGTAGTGTTTATGACGCTTGAAGTAACTTTTTAACATTAAGCAGTTGTGTTGTATCAAAAAAAAAAAAAACACTTTTCCATAATTTCAACCAAATTTTTTGAAATTGTTTATGACTCCCAATGGACTGTCAAAATGTCGGTGAATAATAATATGGGCAAAGCTGTGTAGTAGAGTATGATTGAGGTTTTTCCTATAAATGAGCATTTATAGCAGTCCGCTAGTATAAAGCACTTTAAAAAGGAAAATAAACTATGAACAGCTTTGACGAGATTATGGTTTCTTTTGCAATTTACACATAAGGCATGGCCCACTAGTTTTTCTTTTTTTATTATTCCTGGTAGTCCTTTATTTTTAGTCAGTTGACTTAATAAGCTATTATTCTAGGAGATATATAAATATATATATATTTCCTAAAACAGTTCACGAGAAGAACAAGCTATAAAAAAAAAAAAAATCTTAAAAAAAACTAAATAGATATATTTCATAGTTTAAATATTTAAAGTTGCATTTAAAGCAAGAAAATCAGATAAGGCTGTTCGTTTTCCTGAACTAGATTATTTTCCTTTATTCCACTTAAATTCTGTGGCATGGAAAAATGTAAAATGTTACATGGAAGAAATTACCATCAGGGTAGTATTGCTGATTCATGCCTTCTGGAGGCCCCTGCCCACCGTGACTGTATTGGTCACCATAATAGTCTTCTTGGCCAGAATACTGCTGAGGTGGACCTGAAAAACCACAACCAAGATTTATATAGATTTTTCCTTATTCTTTTGCAGTTCAAAATAGCAGCATTAACATATTCTTAAACAAGTAACATTTGAATAAATCCTCCATGCTAAAAAGAAGCAAAATCGTGTAACTGTAGGATTAAAAATTAATGAACGCTGATGGTTTAAAAAGCTGCACTCACAAGACAAAAACAAAACCTATGTGGACTACTCACACAAGGGACAAAATAGCAAGAACCATACAAGACAAAAAATGAATCATTGCTAGAAAGGAGTATTTGTCTGTATTACACTGTGCACCAACATCCACAGTAACAATAACATTATATGGCTGTCTATATAATCCAATATCCATAGGTAAACTACATTTATTTCTACATGGTTGTCCATATTTTGAAACCCGATCGCTTCAGTAAAGGATCGTACTGGCTAAAAAGTACCTAGGGTACAAATTGACAGCAATGTTTATGAAACTTCCTATAAAGTTCATCTAGCATAGGGCTTAGAAATAGGGATTTAAATGCAACTACATAAAACAAAATGCTGACATATTTGTTGAATAAATTAATTTAACCTTTTTATTTATTTATTTTAAAGCATCAGGAGAGAAATGTGTGCAGAAGAAGAGTCAATTTTGAGAAACACTTCAAATGGGATGGAGGAGGAAAAAAATAAAAGATCTTACAGATTAAATACTCACTACAGAAAGAAAATAACAAGTGCCCTTAATCGAACTCCAACTTTACAGTTATATGAACTCCTTAAGTTTAGAGGAAACCTATAACCTCAGAAATAATGAGTTTTTACAGAGTAAGAAATGGTGTTACAAAACACATTAACATTTTAAAAATTACTCTAAAGTGAAGGATCATGTCACTGCACTCCAAAAGGGGAATAAAACACAGGTTGAGAAGATGTTGGCTTACAAATTTAACAAAATAGAAATGGTTACATCCACAGAGTTCTATATGGCACACTTGCAGATCTTCAAGCAATAACTGCAGTAAATTAACAACTCGGTTGTAAGAAAGATAAATAAACAATACTTTGATGAGAATGTGGTTTACTGATGCAGAAGATGACTGAGAAAATTGCAGATGACAGCAAATTATAAGAGTTGAGATGGTCCCATGAATTGTTAAACTCCTAAACACGAATTGTTGGCTTTATTTAATTTTTTGAAACCGATTTCAGAAGAGGAAAAAAAAACAAGTCAACCTAGAAACCAAAAACAAATGAAGCGAGAGTGATGGACTTGCATAGCCACAAAAACTACTCACAACTGTGTGGGCTTTTCGGTCTCTTGCAAGTCACTATGGTTTTTCATAGTTTTGTCACAAATGGATCTGGCACACAAAGAGCAGTTGTGCTGCAAACTACAAATATTAAATCAAAGCATGTTTCATTTCCAATAGCCTCAGCTATCTTTGGCTAAATGCCGCCTTGACAAATGTATGTGGAGTTCATACGACGTCCATATAACCAGACGTAGCACATGCAAATACTTTGTAGGGGGCAAGGCGCCTTAGTAACCATGGAGAGAGTTACTGAATGGCTGCCGCCCCCCCCCAAAAAAATCAAATAGGGGTCCCCAGAATTAAGATCAACCAGGAAGCTCCTCTTCTCATTCACAGCCCCTCAACACACCTAGCCAGTGTATGGAAATGTTGCCTTTGCTATTATATGCATCAAACAGGGTAAAGTTTACTTGAGAATCAGTTACACAAGATCCGTATACCTGTGTTTTAAGACATTTACAATTGTATCAGAATCTATCAAAATTGTATTTGGATGGCAATGTTTTTGCTGCATTGTTTTCATATCAGTTGTTTTGCATGTCTCAGACTGATTTAACACTTTGTAAGCACTGACCCATCTACCTAATGAACTGTCTTATCTGCTAAAGCATTACAAAAGTAAATATTGATCTCAATTACAGATGTTCATATGGGTACTCATAGAATAGAAAATAACTATTCAAGAGGAAACAGGGCAAACTTGAGGGAAAAAAATCAAATATACAGATAATTACTGTAGAATTTTTCTTGTGAGGACATTTAGGCTACATGGAAACTTTATTCAGCACAGTTTTACTACCATTACACACCTAGATACACACACCCAGTTGTCGTGTGGTGATACTTCTAAACACAGCGTGGAATATTTTTTTATTTACTTTTTTTAACATAAGTACTGGATTACCAAAATTCTCATTTTCTTTAGTGACCTCTACAGGATTGAAAGATCCCAAGTTATTTAAACTACACTATATGATTTGAACTTCAAAATCACAATAACCAACACATATAATAAACAATAACTAGCAAAGGTGAACCACATGCAATCATGGCAGACTGTTACCATTATCCTGGTGTAATATGGCAGTCACATCTGTTATGAATCTCAAAAATAATTTAGGGTTCAAAGTTAATATTATACCTTGCTGTGGTGGTCTATATGGAGGAATTTGCCGTTGCCCCATCATATGATTTCCTTGATTAACTTGGCCCATCATTGCCATTGGTGGTTGCTGTCCCTGGTAATGTGGCCCACCACCCTGAGGCATGTTATATTGCTGCGAGGGAGGCTGCTGGTGCATCATTGGACCTAAACAAAGTTAATTTGACATACACAATATATAATAAAAATAAAATTGACTCTCAATTTGAGATCATGAGACTATATGTATGGCAACATACTAAAAATACTCCTTCTACACGTAAAAAGGCTGTTTAAATAAGTTATCATTTTTACTAAAATTCCTACACAGAGTTATTCACTAAACAAGTATTAAACCAGGGAATTGCAAAATATAGGGTAAAAACGGTCAAATTACAAAGAAAAGTTAATTCGGTTAGAGATGTAAAAGTCTGTATATAAATATATATTTTTATAATCTCCGTACCTCCCCTATAAAATCAGCAGGTGCTTTACAATAATGCACCGTGCTCACTTTTCACTCAATTCCAAGATTGTCTCAGATGACATTAAATGCTTAAAATTAGCATGATTAAAGTTTTGAAAGGAAATAGTTTTTTTTTTACCTTTAATACATGACCGCATCCTTCAGCCATATATATGCACCATGAGTCAGACAATGTTTGAAAACCTACAGTGTCTAAAGTAGGGAAGACTACAGAGACTGAGAATTTATACACTCACCCAAGGTAAATCTATATGGCTGAATGATCATATTTTAAAGTTGGGGATGAAATTGGGAGGTTCAAATTTTTTTACATTTACTTTATTTATTTTTTAAATCTATTTCCTTTCAAAATCTGATATAAATTATTAGATTAAAAAATAATTTTGAAGTGACAATTGTCCTTTAACTTATGTCACAAAGGCATTTTCTCTCTGCCTCCCTGCAGTGTTTTAAAACTAAAGTGATTTGCCCCCCCCAAAAAAAAAAAAACGCAGAACCATGGTTGTGAATTGCAACAGCCACAGTAAACAGGCCATCACATATGGGCAGCGGTTTCATTAATATTCTTTACTACATATCCCACACCTTACGGGTTTATATGATCTGCTCAGTTCCCACTGCAAACAAAAGGAAATCAAGAAGAGGCTGAGCGACATAAACTGTTTCTTAGTTCAGGCAGAGATTACTGCAGGAAGCATCATAACGGTCTTATTTTATATCAAAAGGCATCTTATGTTTTGCATCATGTTTGATAAGTGTGGCCCAACTTCGGTTTGGAGTTTTTTCAAGTCAAGATGCTTTTTGTTTTAATGAATATAATTGGCAGATAACCACTTACTTGTATCACATGTTGCCCAACAGTATTCCTTTAACTAGGGCATGCTAAAATAATATTCAAGGAAAGGAATAAAAACAAAAAAAAATATCAAGTTGCAGGTATATTGCACTGTTGATAGAACTTATTGAAGAGCCATTTTACCTTGATTTTGTTGTATGTTCATACTAGGTCTTGGTCCATAATTGCCCATTGACTGCCCTTGACTCATGGTCATCTGGTTCTGGACTGGCACATTTTGAGAAGATGGCACAGAGTGGTTATAGCCTCCCATGGAGCCATGGTTATTGGCTGGCATTGGCATTGAGCTGTTTGTCATGTTGTGCTGATTTGGTCCTGGCCCTTGCAAAGGCATATGATTAGGCCCTAAAATAGATGACCAAAAGAAGAAATAAGGGAAGTCAGAGTTTTAATTGTGAAGAGCCACCAAAAAACACCAAGAGATTTCAGAAAAGTAAACTCTACAGCCATGGAGATGCACCATGCAACAATCATATATGGTTAACTTAAATGAACATTCAAGCATCTTAACTTCATCTGCAGAAAGTGGTTACGGTGCTTGGAGTTCCCTGGTCCTGTCTTACCTTTTAGTGTTCTATTGTTTATGTAAAATACAGTTCTATAGCCAACAAGTTCATGGATTTCGGAGGACTCGTTTGCGCTCTTAAAAGAACATTAGCTAGATATATCACAGCCATGACCCTTCAAATGAAGGAATGCCCATAAAACACACTAGTAAAGTTAAAACATTGAATCTAAAACCGAAACTTCGGGATGCCCTTGGCCAAAAACAACTTTTTTCAAAAATGATTGATTTAAAAAAAAAAAAAAAAAATTACCTTTAATTTTATTAAGATTAAACTTTATGAATTTAATCTAATATGAAAAACTTCCCTTCGCTGTTAGTGGTACCACCCCCGCCCCCCCGCTTAATGTTCCTCTCTCCCCCCTCTAGTGTTCTTTCCCCCACCTCCCCTGTCCCATAGTGCTCTTTGCCCCCACCGTCCCCAAGTGCAGTATTCTTAACTTTCATGTTATCATTACCATCTTTCTTTGTGATATATAATCATCTAAATTGTTAATGCTAACATGTCTGTTAAACTATGCACTAATATATATATTTATTTATTTTATTAATATATTTTTTTTCCCCTCTTCCTCTGCAAATTTGACCTGTTTTCGGACGAAAATTTCGGTGCATCCCTAGACATTTGTTTGATACCTAGTTGATTTGAAAAGTAAGCTGATTTTTAAAATCCATTTGATGATTCTTCTTTTAACATACAAAAACAATGAAACACTGCAAATCAATGTATATGAAAAGTAAAATTCAGTTTGTCTGTATTTGTAGTTGGCACAAACAGTTGCAAACAGAAAGTATGAGCAGTAAGATGTTAGATCATCATTATCACTGCACAATCATTCCTTCAATAAGAAATGCAATCATGGGTAATAATACTTTGGCTAGAAAATAACTAACTTTCTAGTTTATAGACTGAATCCTGCAATGCAATTATCCACCAAATGTAAGATTCGTGCCATATTTGGATCCTATGATTTAGCACCGAAATAGTAAAATGGGGGTGATAAATATGGAAAAACATTACTTTTGTCTTCATGAAAGGGTTTATTTTCATGAGTTAAGGACAGTCTCTCTACAAAAAGCCTTTGAAAGCCAGCTGCACTATGTGGTTTCACAAAGACTAAATTTAGACAGTTCTGTTCATCACGGCAATGCTGTGTGTCAGCCACATTAAAGCCCAAGGGCAGAAAGATAAACAGTGAATACAGGTCACGTATCTCTGAAGCTAACAAACTGTAAGAGAGCTTGCACTCCAGGGTATTCAAAGCAGTTTTGTCCTCAACAATCTAGTATCCCCTGAGCCTCCACGGCACTCTGTTGCTAAGCAACATTGGTGTGAATACCTTAGAGAAGAAAATCTTACCAGGCATCTGGCCGTTCATCTGACTCTGCATGTGTGGTGCAGATGGACCCCCTCCTACCATCCCTTCCGAAGGCATGTTGTGAGAGCGAGGAGGTGGCAGCGGCCCGCTCTGATTCATCCCTGCTGGACCCATAGGCATGTTCTGTGTTGGTAACTAAAACAAAATAAAACAAATATATATTTTTCCCTATACAGCTATTTTATTATTTATATAGCGCCATCAGATTCTGTAGCGCTGTACAATGAGTATCAAAATCATTTACTATATTCCAACCTCTACATTTAAAAGTATTTTGGCATCAGAAGCACCTTTCAGTTTTTCTAGCTAATTTCATCACTATTGTCCTTTCTTCGTTTGAGCTTTAATGTTTCCATCCCCGACACAAAAATATAAAGTGCCAATGCCCACCAAACCAAAAGAGCAGTCACTCCACTAGAGTTCCAGCACCTCCCCCAAAAAATAAACAAACATTTTCAAGTATATTTTTATACATTGCTAGTTCAAAAAAAAAAAAAAAAAAAACCCACCAAGGCTTGCCTTAACCACCTTGTGTATGTATTGCTCTATCGGGGAGGACCAGCATAGATAGAGAAGCAGGGACAATAAGGCTTTTTATTATTAAATGTACAATTGCTGACAGTTAAAGGGACACTAAATTTCAAAACCACTACTACGTAACATACTGTGCTTTGTTGCACAGATGCGGACCCTTTTATAGGCCAATATAAAACATTACCATTTCTACGCAATACTAATGTTCACATTTGACTGTAAACATAACTATATATTTTTATAAACGTATACAAATATATACACCGTCTGTACAAACCACTGTGCAACCCTGTTAATTAGCAGGAATAAACAGACATGAGATCAGGTATTAAAACTGGAAGAAACAAGTTTTTTCTTACAGCAGAGGAAGTTTTTTTACAGTAAGAACAATAAAAATGTGGAATTCTCTGCCTAAAGAGGTTGTATTTTCAGATTATATAAATACATTTTTAAATATTTTGATTGCATAAGCAGAATATTCAAGGACATAATTGATATTTGCCGTATATAAACCCTGTTCCAAATTATTCTGCAAATGATATTTTTCTCATTTACCTAAATAATTGATGTAAATAAACAGTCGGCATAATTCTCATGTTATCAACTATTAAGAATAAAATTTAAATTTTGTATGTTAAAAAAAAAAAAACACAATAAAAAAAGCTTACAATGCACTGTTCCAAATTATTACGCACAGTAAGTATCAAAACACTTTATAGGTTGTAAAGAACTGAAAATTGTAATTTGTTGTGTTTGCAACATATTTACTGAAATCAAAAGCTATTTCAATCAAACTTATAACAACATTTTAACTTTTTAAACATTTTAACATGTCACGTTACATTTTAACATAGGGCCCCTTATTTGATAGCAGCTTCACAAGTCTTGCATCCATTGAACTTGTGAGTTTTTGGACAGTTTCTGCTTGAATTTGTTTGCAAGATGTCAGAATAGCCTCCCAGAGCTGCGGTTTGGCTGTAAGCTGCCTCCCACCCTCATAGATCTTTTGCTTGAGGATGCTCCAAACCTTCTCAATAGGATTGAGGTCAGGTGAGGATGGAGGCCACACCATGACTTTTTCTCATTTTATCCCCATAGCAGCCATTGATACAGAGGTATTCTTTGCAGCATGAGATGAAGATGATTTTATTACGGAAAGCATCGTTCTTCCTTCTGTACCATGGAAAAAAGTGGTCAGTCAGAAACTCCACATCCTTTGCAGAGGTTATTTTTACACTTTTGGGGACCATAAAGGGGCCGATCAGCTCTCTTCCCATGATTCTGGCCCAAAACATGACTCCACCACTGCCTTGCTGACGTCGCAGTCTTGTTGGAACAGGGTGGCCATCCACCACCCATCCACTACTCCATCCATCTGGACCATCCAGGGTTGCACGGCACTCATCAGTGAACAGGACTGTTAGGATTTTTCTGCCCAATGCAGCAGTTTCTGCTTGTGAGCATTGGTTAGTGGTGGCCAAATAGAAGGTTTATGCACAGTTGTAAGACTCTGGAGGACTCTACACCTTGATGTCCGTGGGACTCTCGAGGCACCAGCAGCTTCAAATATCTGTTTGCTGCTATGTAATGGTATTTAAAGCAGATGCTCTCTTGATCCGATGCATGGATCTGGCAGAAATCTTCCTCAATGTGCCTTTATCTGCACAAACCCGTCTGTGCTCTGAATTAGCCACAAATCTCTTAATAGTGAGATGATCACGCTTACGTTTTCGTGAAATATCTAATCTTTTCATACCTCGTCCAAGGCATTGAACCATTTCACTCTTTTCGGCAGCAGAGATATCCTTTTTCTTCCCCATATTGCATGAAAATGGTGCTCTGCTTAATAATGTGGAACACCCTCCTTTAATAGTTTTTCCTTAAATTGGGCTCACCTGGCAATCTAATTATCACAGGTGTCCGAGATTGTTTTCAGTGATCAAAAGAGCCCTGAGACACAATGCCATCCGTGAGTTAAACTGAAAAACAAAATATTTAATCTTTGTGACACTTAAATAGAATTTGCATAATAATTTGGAACAGGGTGTGTGTCGAAAATTTTTAGTTCTAAACGTCATTTTAAAATGCTGAGTTGACTTATCCACGGGTCAGTGCTAGTTTTGATAGCATTTTGTACAGCGTTCAGGAGTCGAATGTAGGGCAATGTTGACTCCCGAATGCAGTTCTCCTAGCTGGTCGGGAAGTCAAACGGGCAGGGGTACAAGTTTCAGTGGGGTTGGCGGGCTTGCGTCGCTGACTCAGAGATTGTAGCCGACAACGACCATGTACCGCTGCCTGCGTTCTGGAGACAACATGTGCATTCGTATATATGAATGGTGGCCACCCAGGGAATACTTGTTTGTGGTTAACAGCCAGGGGTGGTCGGTGATTACGAGGTGTTAACAAGGGGGACCACACAGAGTCTGCTCGGTAACCAAACAATTCCATTTGAAAAATGTACCCTCAACTTATCCACAAGTCATAGCATATTTCACAATTGTTGGTCAAAAACTGCACTCGACTTATACACGAGATCGACTTATAGATGAGTATATACGGTATGTAAACAGTTTGTTGAACCAGGGAGAAACAGGATTGTCATTATGGAGTCAAAGAGGATTTCCCCCCCTTTTTGTAGCATAATTGGAAATGGCTACAATTGGGATTTTTTGACGTCTTTTGGATCGACGACAAAAGAATGAGCTTCACAGTTGTATTTGGTAAACTGACGTCTTTTTTCAACCAAGACAACTATGTAACAGGTTGGATGAAGGTTAACTTTGGTCATAGACAGGATGACAAGATGGCAGGATTTGTATTCCTAACACTATAGAAGTCAGAGGCAGAGCAATGTGGCTAGGGCTGCATAAACAGTGACTTAACTGCTAAATGGCAGAGAAATGAACAGTGAGACTGCAAGAATGATCTTTCAACCAAAACCACTAGTAAAGAGACACTATAGGCATTAAAATAACTTTAGTTTAATGAAGCAGTGTGGATGTATAGATCATGTCCCTGCAGCCTCACTGCTCAATACAATGCCATTTAGGAGTTAAATCACTTATTTCGATTTATGCAGCCCTAGTCACATTTCCCCTGGCTGTCACTCACACAGCCTGTATGGGGTGGGGGGGGTGGGGAAGAGTTTAATTTTCAATCAGATGTTTTTTATCAACTGCTCTGTAAATTGACCTTTAATCACACGCAAGAGGTTCCTGCAGGGTCTAGAAGGCTAGAGCACAAGATATGAAAGTAAACAAACTAAGCTATAAAAGGAAGTTTAAACATTAGATCTCTCTATACAGGAAAATGTTTATGAAGGCTGTATAAACAAAGTGTTTTAATGCCTAAATGGCACAGAATTGTGAAGTGAGACTGCAAGGGCATGTAGTGTCCCTTTAAGCCAAGGTTGTTTTCATTAGAGTGTTCTGTTATCATAATTTAAAAAAAAAAAAATATCACATCATTGACATCAATACAACCAAACTCATTACTAAAAAGTTTTATGATAAAATTATAATTATTTACAATATCATAACAAAACTGAACTAATTTAAATGTTTGCAAATTTGCCAAAGTGTTTTCTTACTGCTGGTAATAAAGGCTGCATATTTTGATTGGAGTCTGCTATTGTGGCCAAGTAAACAAGGTTTGTATGTAACATCTGTTGATACCTATATTAAAAAAAAAAAAAAGAGAGAAAAGAAACCAAATGAAATTTGAAAAATACAGGAAATAATATTCATCATACAAGCATGAAGCGCGCAATAGCATGAAAATGTGAAAATTCTGAGGAGGGGGGAGGAATAAAAAAAAAATAAAATAAAAACACACCACAGTTTGATTTTTTTTGGAGGTAGTTGCTGTACAAACAATTTTAAAGTTACATTATAGCCACATGTTCTGGCGAGTAAAGCCTGCCCCTGCAGGCGTTGTGCAGTAAACAGTCTTTTCAGAGATAATGCAGTGCTCCAGGATACCCTTCAGTAGCCACTTCTCAGATGGTTACTGAATGTGATTTCTGCAGCAGTGCTGCATCAGTGTCTCCACCCTCTACATGGAGACCCTTTGTTTAAAGTATCTTTATGAGGAGATGCCGATTGGCCAAGCGGCATTTAACTCCACCCCCGGGACATCTCCTTGGCTGAGATCAGCAGAATTGACTAGCTCAGCCAATCCAAGGCTTTCCTATGGGAGGTATTGACTTCTGGTGAGGTTAGCCAAGGAGGCAAATCAGAGGCAGAGATAAAGGAATAAAGATAAGATTTAACTATATTTAGGTGGGGGGGCAGGGGGACCAAAAAGTTTTAACACTATAAGCTCATGAATACATTATAATGTTCAATAAAAGGCCTATTTTTTTTTTTATTAGATCAAAAGAGCAGTTTATTTTTTACATTTTTAGGTGGTCAGCATCATGGCCGCTGTGCAATGCTTTCATTTACTTTTTTCTTTACCGAGTTTGATGCAATTAATCATTATAAATATTACTGCATACATGAAAGGGTTAGTCCAAGCACCATTACCACTTCACAGTGCCTGAAGTCTGTATATGCAAGACTTCAGTATGAAAATCCCAAATATATAGAGATATATTTGAGGTATTAATCTAATAGAACGAGTGTGGTAGGAACGAACATCCAATGGCAGCATGGTTCCTCTGCCCCCCACCATCCTGTCGTGTCCTCCTAAGCCATGCCAGGGATAGACTTACCCTTGCAAACAAACTGCTCTCTCATAAGGCAGAGCTTTTGCTGCACTTCGGTCCTCCACTGTCGATGTCACTTCCCCTCACTAAAGAGACAGAACTCTGCCTGACAAAAGACACCCATATACACAAATTTAACATGGGAAAAGAAGCTGCTAGAGGTGAAGTTACACTTCCGGCAGCAACCTTTAGATATCTATTCATGTGTAGTGTTTCAGACTGATAAGACTGCTAACCAGTCCAGCTCTCAGCTTATCATTTTCATAAAATCAGCTATAGTGGTTAAGGTGCTTACAGAGTACACTTTAACTACAATGTCGCTCACACTCACCACTATTAAGTGGAGGAAACTGCTAAAAGCAAAAAAAAAAAAAAAAAGTTGCATAGCTGGAGATGAGCCTTAAATCAAAGAAAAATTTATATTATACTAGGTACTTACTGTGAACATTCTGACGTCTTTCCTTTATTTTGATAATCCATTATACATTGAATTAGTTGATTATTTTCATCCAACATCTGTTGAGGAAAATATGTTTTTATTAAAATATTTGCAGTTTCTAACAAAAATGTATTTACCACCACATCTCTTAATGCCAAGAACTGGTTCTGGTTAACAGGTATACATTTACTAGCATTAATACTATCACAATGAACAGTCTTCCTTATTTTAAAATAAAAACCTGCATGTATATTAACAGGAACCTTTTTGAGTACATCGATGGCTGCTCAAAGACCAAGTCCTCATCCTATTGGTAGGTTTATATTGCATAGTCTGTGTTCTCACAACATATTCCATAAAGAGTTATGAAATCTGTTGGCGCTACAGTAGTACAAAATGAAATGAGTGTGAGTGCATAAGTAAGTACATTTTTCTTCAGGACCAGTCCATCAAAGTATTTACTGGTAAGTGTGAATGCAGAGCAGTATTAGTGAGGGTAGGTAAATTAAAAGGCATTCACACCTCATTGATCTTCAAAAATGTCACTGGTGCCTGATCTCGCACTTCTTCCACATATCTGTTTATGTTGCCTACTACTTCTCAACAGCCTTATTGCCACATCTTGCCATCATGTCACTTATGCTTCTCTGTCATGTTTTTTTACTTGTTTTTTTTGGAAGCATTCCTGTTTTTGTCATCACAAGGAGCCTAATCCTGTGTGTTGGGGGCATGGGCCTATTAGGGTGATGCAAACGAGTCTTCATTATAATGCAAGCTACGTTGTACTAGCAGATACACAGCTCACATGCGGTTGACGCTGACATTGTCATTGTCGAAAGGATTATTTTCAAATGCCCCAATACATGTAGAACACCCTAATGTAACACCAGTGTAAGGAATGCAAACAAGTTATGGTGTTCTACTAGCAAGGAAGATAATTGGGGTCCCTTGAAGGTTAAAAAAAAAAAAAAAAAAGGTTTATTTGCCTTTCTTCTTCAGGTGCATTTATCTTGCCACAGCTACTGCTTCTCCCACAGCTGACATCATCATTACTCATAATTTACTTCCAATCAGCACGTATTCCATGAGCTTAAATGCAGTGAATGTCTGCCCTGCAATCTTTGCAGGACTGCCCCAAAAGTTCCTATATTGGCTGTTTGGGTCACAGCCACTAGAGGTGGCGTTAGGCAGCAATGTAAACACTGTCCCTGCCATGTAATCTCTTTCCCCAGAACCACTACATTAAGCTGTAGTTGTTGAGATGGTTAAGCACCTTTAAAGTATCTCAAATAACTCAACCATTGCATAGTCCTAACCAATTACCACCATTTGTGATTTTCTCTGTTAAATATTAGTAAAAAGTATTCGATTTGTCCTTATACTTGAAATAAAACGTGATCGTGCTAAAAGCTGGAAATATGTCACTGTTGTCAGGGGTTAAAAAGAGTTGTTGTAAAAAGAATGACACTGAAAGGATTGAAGTTCCATAAAAAAAAAATAATAATTTGGCTTCTCACTCTGAACTGATAACATCACAGTCCTGTTAACGAAGGATCGTTTAATGAGATTGTACAGACTAGAAAATGGTCCCCATGCTAGGCAATCTCAGCATGGAGATAGGTGAAAGGAGGGACCAGTGACAAGAGTATATAACAATGGTTTAGAAAGAATGCAAATAAAAATCATACCAAATACGTAAATATAAATCACAAAGAGATTAAAATTTAAGTTGCATCAGAGTTGTTATAACTTAAATAGGCACGCTAAGGACCATAATCAGTACAGTACACTGTAAAGGATATTTTTTGAGGAGTTCATTACCAAAAACGTATTTTGATATCAGCTAAATAAAAGGATAATCAATTGTGGATAATGCAGCATACAAGTAGACTGAGTTTCTCTACACAAAAACAACGGACAACGAAAACGTATCAAAAATCACAATTCAAGAGCAGCATAATAAATGTGAAATGCATGTTACGGACCATTTCAATAATACAGTAAAGAACACAGTCAATATTATATCATTGTTTACAAACTAATTAACAGATCCCTGGCATACAAAAATGGTTGATCAATGGCCAAAAGGAGCTGAAATAAGTCATCAAAAAGACTGTACCGAGAGAGATAGAGATAGAGATATATACACACACATATATATATACATACATACATACACACACACATACACACACAAATACGTTGGGGGTTTTGCACTCCAGCTCGCCTTCCAGTGTCTGCCCGGTGCTCAGCTGCACATAAACATAGAATCCAAATGAAAGGCTAGCACTCAAGGACTTCAATATCAAAAGTAAAAAAAATTTAATCCGGTTTGTCAGATTGCTAGCCTTTCATTAGAGAGATAGATAGAGAAATATATATTATATAAATATATATTATATAAATATATAACATAGCACTGAAGCTGGACTGGTTTTAAGTTGAGAATAACATCCAAATCATAGATTGACAAATTTGCATGGAATCTAGGAGCCAGCAAAAAATGTCAGGAGTACACACAAAAAAAAAAAAAAAGGGACACTATAGTCACCAGAACCTCTACAGCTTAAAATGGATAAGTGCCAGGAATACAAAGTTGTATTCCTGGCTCTATAACTCCCTCTGCCTCCATGTATTGGTAAATAAAGGGTTAAAAACCCTTTATTTACATACCTTATCCATTCGGTGCTGGCCCTGCCTCCTTCGGCCTCTTGTGATGAGCGGGGGACAATGCGTATGCACAGCAAATGCAGTGCATGCATTAGACCTCCCCATAGGAAAGCATTGAATCAATGCTTTCTTTAGAAAAAAAAAAAAAAAACATGACGCTGTATGTCAGTTACCGGGCCAAAGGTCCATTAGGATCCAGTAAGCACCACTGGAGACAGCCACTGGAGGTAGACTTAGTGCTGCAATGTAAATATTTTCTGGAACTGCGATGTTAAACACTGCAGCACTAACTGTAATAGGGACAATGTTCCCAGGCCACTTCAATAAGCTGCAGTAGTCCAGGTGCCTATACGGTTCCTTTAAGACACACACACATGGACAGATGCACTCAGAAATTAGTTTTGTTTTTTAAAATTTTAATTTAAATCCACCCAGCTTCCCTACCTTTGGGAGAGCTGGAGTGGATCAGCTTTCCCTAGGGTCCAGTGGGGCTGCCATCATCTTCCTGCTCACCTCCTACTCACGCTATTAAGTGATGTTAGGGTAGGAGTGACATCATATTCAGGCTCTGGGCATCACTGCAGGGCACGCATGGGAATAGAGCATAAAGATTAAAGCTCCCTCATCCCCTTCATTTTGCACACCCGGCGGCCTCCACTGCTCTCCATCAAAAAGCCGCTTGCGTTCGCCCTCGCCACCTCTGCTAAACAATCCCAGGCGAGCCCTGACAAACATTTCCTGGACAATGGCAATAATATGCATTTGATTTTCTTGAAACGAAAGGCTTCATTGGACACCTCAATATACACTGTAAATATGAGCACATACTTGGAAACTAAAATGCATCTGAATTTAGGGTAATCAGAAATGTGAAATTTAAAAAATAAATAAAAACCCACACAAAAAAAAAACATGTAATTGTGTAAAGCTCAAAATGCAGAACAAAATAAAGATAGGTCAAAGCTGACTAAAGTAAGATCTAGACAATACAGACATGGGTGGCTAGGCAAGAAAATGACCATTAAAATATAGACCCAGCTAAAGAACCATGCTCTAGCCTGAACTAAAGACCAATGTAGATAAAGTATAGACAAACAGCACCAGATAATGTTTTCATAACAGTTTTATTACACCACTGCAGACCCATCAACAATTAGAGGCCAAACTGGAAGCTAAACCTGCTTAATAGACTAAGTACAGTTAAGTGAAGCTGCACAGTCTGATCTTGGATGTGAGTGAACAAGTCTAATTTACACACAACCTGTAGAGATTGTCTGTCCTGGAGAGAGCATTAGCCATGGGTGGACACAAGCTCATTCAAGGAATTGCGAATTCTCTGTACACAGCCTGGTTCACAAAACAGTATCTCACACTGTCTACTCATTACATAATTGAGATAAAGGATACAACAGCAAGATATTATGAAGACATCCTGCCCATGTCAATAAGCTGCCTTCTTGACATCATTAAAGGGTACACATTACAATGTAGTTGTTATGGTGCCATTAGGCTCAGCACAATCCCCCAAACATTGTGTTAAAGTGAGCAGTTTCTGGTCAAACGGTTTGAGCACTTTGAGCAAAACTGCTTGTCAATTTCCATTATGGTTGTCAGTCTTCTACATCACCAATTGTAACAATATTTTAAAGCCTTCCATTTGCTGTGCATGTCATCTTAACCACTCCGTTACTGAGCATTGCCAACATATGGGACATCACAGAGACGAGGGCTCTCGGCATTACGGATGCGCGACAATAGACGGCTCTCGGCATTACGGATGCGCAGGGGACGTGACAATAGACGGATCTCGGCATTACGGATGCGCAGGGGACGTGACAATAGACGGATCTCGGCATTACGGATGCGCAGGGGATGTGACAAGACGGATCTCGGCATTACGGATGCGCAGGGGACGTGACAAGACGGATCTCGGCATTACGGATGCGCAGGGGACGTGACAACAGACGGCTCTCGGCATTACGGATGCGCAGGGAACGTGACAACAGACGGCTCTCGGCATTACGGATGCGCAGGGGACGTGACAACAGACGGCTCTCGGCATTACGGATCTGCAGGGGACGTGACAACAGACGGCTCTCGGCATTACGGATCCGCAGGGGACGTGACAATAGACGGCTCTCGGCATTACGGATCCGCAGGGGACGTGACAATAGACGGCTCTCGGCATTACGGATCCGCAGGGGACGTGACAAAACTGATGGCTCTTGGGGCTGCACATGAGCAGGAGACGTGATCGCGATTATGGATCTTAGGGCTGTGGACCAATAGGATACATAAAACAGCCTAGTGCTCTTAGTGTTGTGTATCAGCAGCGCATAGAACAGAGCTTAGGGCTCTTGTGGCTGAGGTTCAGCCAGCACCTGAAAGAGAGTCAGCTCTTGGGATTGCAGACTAGCTGGGAGGAGGGCAGAGCTCCTGGAAGAAAGGAAAGTGGCCATGGTGGTGCTATTACAGAGGGGATTAGCCACCTATCACGATGGTCACCAGCTCGCCAGTCTGATCTATGGCGCTCGCCAGTCTGATCTATGGCGCTCGCCAGTCTGATCTATGGCGCTTACAATGAAAGCAGAGAGCAGGCTGGCACGTGGCTCTCTCTCTATATATATATATATATATATATATATATAAACACAGACAGATAGACAGACAGACAGTGCAGCCAGCCCTCGGGGACCCAGCTCTCACTCAGCATGCTCTCACTCAGGATGCTCTCACTCAGCATGCTCTCACTCAGCATGCTCTCACTCAGCATGCTCTCACTCAGCATGCTCTCACTCAGCATGCTCTATGGTTAGAGGTGAAAGATGCTTCCCCTCTCTCAGCTCTTTGTGCTCACCTTCTGAATGGCGGCGGGCGTGATTTCGCCTTTCCCGCGCTGCCTCGGAGCCGCAAAGGCTACAGACATGACGGACCCGGGAGACTCGAGCGGAGACCAGCGAACGGCGACAAGGAAGCGAATTACTGCACGGACAGAACACCTAGACTGCGCGCGCACTCTCCGCGAGACCAGCGGGACAAACCAAACTGGGATTAACGGAGGAACTCTGCGAGCGAGGACTCGACAATGTCTGCCTTTCGAAAGCCACAGTTCACTGTCCTTACGATAGGGAATTGTAACGAATTCATATTGTGATAAAAGAGCAGGACTGCTTGTTTGGAGGAGGAGTAGTAAAGGAGACGTTAGTCTCCACAACACCCCTATAACCACCGGCAGTGGTTTTGCCCTACGTGGATCCCATGATCCTTTGTGTAGCGTACCAGCAGTAAAGTGGTACATCCCTTCGAAGGGGTGTTCAGTTACGTTTGTTGGACGGAGGTTTTGCGTTAACGTTATCCGTGAATTTGAAAATTAGTTGCTCAGAAATGATTATTTGATGTGCTAAGATTTTGCTATACCTTATAATTTGCCAGTTAATGCTTCATAAACCATTGCCTCCCTCTTTTTACATATTGGTACAGTCCGTGGGGGTTAGAGCACGACCATTTTCCGGCACAGCAACTGGGGGAGGGGAGATCTAGCTGGACTCTTTTACAGTCACATTTATTTCTGGGCTTATACTGTTACTGAATGGCAGCAGCTACCCCCGCTGCCGATAATATAGTTTTTAACCCCTTCAGGACGGAGTCAATAGTGCACGTTCTGATCAAAACAAAACGTAAACAAAAACTGGAATTTGCGCTATATGTCTGTTCACCCGTAATTCACCGCTGTCACATTAAGTGCACCCACACTTATTATATATCATTTTGTTCAGGAGTGTTGTGGAAATGAGATATGGACATATTTTTAGCTAGTAAAATGTCTATTTACTCCATTTAGTTATACTCAATAAATTACTAAACTGACCACTAGATGTCATTCAGGAGTACCCCACCCATCGACCAAACACTCTAATTTTCAAGATGGCGCTGGAATCCGGGGGAGAACTCCATGACGACAGTAATGACATAAGAAGGCACACCCAGTAGGACGTGCTTTGAATAAAACACTTAACACTTAACCAATTATTGATGTATTATTCCATGTTATCTCTGACAATGCTTATGATGTAATTTTGCTTTAAAAGGGACCTGCCGTCCCCTCTGAATAAATTTCCTCAAGTTATTCAACAACCTGGAACCTGTGTCTGGTGTGAATTACTTCAGGGAGCGTGCACGCATTGTTTCATTAATTTGGCCAGGGGCAGATACACAAGGAATAATCAATCGATTGAGTTGATTTCCACTTCAATTGGCGCCCAACGTGGGGCCCCGGATTTGCCAGTTTGGAGGGCCGGAAACCAAGGACCGGAGCGGACACCCAGAAAATGGGACAACCGGAGCCTGATCACCTCCAAAATGCAGCCGTTGTCTGTATATTCCTTTTGTGGTGGTCTGTCTCTGCGTCTACTTCCGGCATCCAGAAGACTACTAGACAGGTAATATCTTATCCGGGGCCTCTTTTAACGAACCTGTCGATTGTCTATCTGCCTCCTGAGTGTTTGTATGAGTGCGAGTGACGGCCGGTGTATGTGTTTTCTTTTAAAAATTTTAGCTTGACTGCCTAGCGGGCAGGGAACGCGACAGCCGGTAAAGGGCTGGGGACCACCCTTGTGAAGGGTTGGGGAATTGTGACAGCGCTGGGGACCACCCGTGAGATCGGGTTGGGGAATTTTTTTTGACAGCCTGGAATAAGGGGCTGGGAATGTTATTTGATTTTTATTGCATTGTTTGATTATGTACATGGCCATATTGCTCTCTGTTGTTTTGTGGATTTTGTTTAATTGTTGTTACAGTGTGGGTACCTTTGGTGTTTGTGTGTGTGTATAGTGTGGTTTGTTCTTGATTCTGGAGTGTACACCCACTTCTATGTATGTGATTTCTGCAAATGCCTAGTGCTTAGTGTTGCTACTTTCATTTTCTCCCTTACTCTGTATCTGTCCTGTCTCTGCTGCCCAGAGCTGTGTTAGTCACCCACGCTCGCCCCCTCCGGTCTGTGGCCACCACCCCCGGGTGCACAGACCATCGTGACTAGTCTACGTTTTGGGAAGACGCACGGGTCCACCGTGGTAGTCGAGCACTGTAGACTTTTCTACTTCTTCTTCCCTCTCACTTGGTCTCCTTTACTTGGCAGACCTCGCTTGGTCAAAAAGGGGCAAGAACATGCTAGACCAGCTAAGGGGTATTTGGCTTGTGATATTGTTAAAGGACCACTATAGTGCCAGGAAAACATACTCATTTTCCTGGCACTATAGTGCCCTGAGGGTGCCCCCACCCTCAGGGTCCCCCTCCCGCCCGGCTCTGGAAGGGGGAAAGGGGTTTAAACTTACCTTTTTCCAGCGCTGGGCGGAGAGCTCTCCTCCTCCTCTCCGCCTCTTCCGCCCCGATGGCTGAATGCGCACGCGCGGCAAGAGCTGCGCGCGCATTCAGCCGTCTCATAGGAAAGCATTTACAATGCTTTCCTATGGACGCTGGCGTGCTCTCACTGTGATTTTCACAGTGAGAAGCACGCAAGCGCCTCTAGTGGCTGTCAATGAGACAGCCACTAGAGGATTAGGGGGAAGGCTTAACCCATTCATAATTATAGCAGTTTCTCTGAAACTGCTATAATTATGAAAAAATGGGTTAACCCTAGAAGGACCTGGCACCCAGACCACTTCATTAAGCTGAAGTGGTCTGGGTGCCTAGAGTGGTCCTTTAAAGAGAGGGCAGGGAAAGAAGCTATGCTGAAAATGGAAAAGTTAGCAAAGATTTCTGGTTTCCAAATGTATAAGTCTCTGTCCTTCTGTTTTGTTACTTTATGGCGCTCACATGGTTAACCTTCATGCCTGCAGTTTCTCTCATTACTCTGCCTCACTTTCCCCCCCCCCCACCGGCTAGGGGGGAGGAGTGACATGCCTGCATTTCGGAGCTACTGATAAGAGTTAGAGACGGGATTTGCTGGAAAATGCTGGAAAATATTCTAATTGTATAATGTTGTGTACATTGTTATATGCATAGACGTTGTTAGGGAGGTTACGGTGTTATAATTGTGTAATAATATTATTATTGTTGCCGTTTGCATGGCGCCGGCAGATTCCACGGTGCTATATATATATATATATATATATATAAATTGTGTTTTGTGATAAAGTAGTGAGGATTGTGGGGGAGACACAAGAATGTAGCTCAGTGTTGATTACGGAGGTTAGGTAAGTGAATCTGATACAAGAATAGAGGAATATTTGGACGTGTTAAGTGTAAAGGCAAGCGTGATTTGTTGCAAAACTATGCAATGTGGATAGAGGGAATATGCGAAGTTGTTAAGTTAGTATGTGAAGAGGAAAGTGATTAATGGTTGGAGGATGATAAGGGAAATTGGTTGAATTCCGTGAGTTTATTTTCCTTTATGTTATTTTAAAGTACTGTTTCTACGGACAGCTTTATGGGTTGTTGAATGCATAATGTTTTCAACTGTCTTATTTAACCTGCCAGGTCTGTTTATAGTTTAGTATTTCATTTTGCAGAGCGGAATGTTGCTTCTCTGACTTATTTTATTAGTTATAATATAGTGTATTGTTGAAAGTGCGTCAGCCACCACCCTAAAGATGGCGCCTAGTACAGAAGGAGGTTGACTCTGCCAGTCCCGTGACCTATCTACAGTCACAGTTGCTTCTAAAGTGACGTCACTTCCGCCCTTACCATGCCCACACCTCCTGTCTTCCTTTCCCACACCTATCATGGACATCATCTCACTTCCTCCCTTGCTGTCATTTCCTTCCCCGCCCCTGTCATGGCTGCCTCCATCATGAGGCCTACCCCTATTATGCTCGTCCTATTTAGAGACATGTTGTTTTCCTTACACTCTACATATTATGAACAGAAACATTATAATTACTAAAACAATCATGCCATTTGTTTCCCTGTATCAGAAATGTGTCCGTGATAATAAAAAAAAAAAAAAAGAAGGTTGCTAAAATGTCATTTGCAACTGTGGTGTGACCTACAAATGAGATCTGTTGGACACGAATATAAGAGCATAACAGCTGATTATCCAGATTAATCTTGCAACAAGGGAAATAGCCAAATAATGCAAGTTATTTTAAACATTGTATCTTTGCTTAATCGAATCTTGCTAGTTACAAATCGTATGTTTACAGTAACATCCTTTACGTTAAATAATGGTTTGGTTTTAGAAGGATTAGTGACATGTTTTATTAACCCAGCCACTACTGGTTATTCATTTTAGTTACAGGGTGGTATAATTGTTGTGGTCTAATTAATATAAATGATAGTACCGCAATAGTTAATGTTTTATCCAAAGACATATAGGAACTTTACTTCACTTACTATTAACCATTATTTATAATGATAGACATGTTCAGACTGCAAAAAGCTATGGCTAATGACATAGAAAGGGGTTAGAGTCAATAACACAGCCCATACAGAGGAGAGCAAACCCACTGATGCTTAATACCCCTGCCAAGGCAGTGTCTACAGGGGATGGGGGAGGGCCACCAGCCACAGTAGTTCTACCCATTGAGGGTCATCCCACTACTTTCCTGGTTGACACAGGTGTAGCCCGCAGTGTTCTTAGAGAACAAGACCTGCCTGACTCATCATTCCTGTCTGACACCGATGTCTCTTGTGTTGGTGTTGATGGTACTTCCCGCATTAACCCACTCACTAAACTCCTCCATGTGGGTTCTGATATCCTTTCCCGGTTTGTTGTCTCCTCCACATGTCCCATTAACCTCTTGGGTGCTGATGTCCTATCCCGCCTCCAAGCATACATCACCCTCACTGCAGACGGCCAGGTTCAATTAAATACACCTTTGTCACGAAAAGACACTTCAGTTCTTTGTTCCCGTCCCATTTTACTACATCTCACATCTCCTATGGGGGAATCAAGGATCCCTCATGCCCCCAGTGCTCTAGACAGGATCCCTGCAAAGCTCTGGTCCACAGGCCCTGATGATATTGGACGCCTTAAAGTTCCCCCAGTTGTGGTCACACTTCTACCAGGAGTTGTGCCTCCCCGAAGACCACAGTATCCGCTGAAACCTGCACAAGCTCTTTCTATTTCTCAGCAAGTGGAAAGCCTTCTAGCCAAGGGAGCCCTTGTCAAGTGTGTATCACCATGTAACACTCCCCTTTTCCCTGTAAAGAAGAAGACTGAGAAGGGACAGCCTGATCAATACCGCATGATCAAAGATCTACATGCAGTTAATGATGTCACGGTCAAGGATACGGCTGTGGTCCCTAATTCGCATACGCTACTGTCACAGGTCCCACCCTCTGCCACAATTTTTACTATAGTAGACCTTGCTAATACATTTTCAGTGTGCCCCTGGACACATCCTGTCAATACCTCTTTGCTTTTCTTCATGAAGGTCAGCAATATACATGGACTGTTATGCCTCAGAGGGCTCAGAATTTGCCCACTCAGTTTGCCGTGCCATGTCAATGGTTCTGGAACCCTGGCAAAAGACTCGCACACATGTAGTCCTGCTTCCATATGTTGATGACTTACTTCCCTGTGCTGCTGAGCTTCAAACTGCTGAACGTATTTCTGAGAACCTACTTTGCTTCTTAGCTGAAGAAGGCTGTAAGGCCTCTAAATCCAAGCTTCAATGGTGCCGGCCCTCAGTGGTCTTCTTGGGACATTGCCTTTCCCATGGCACCTGCCACCTTACCAAGGACAGGATTTTCATCAATCTCTCCATGCCTTCTTAGGCCTCATCACATATTGCAGATCCTGGATTCCTGAAGCTTCTCAACTGTTGCAACCACTATATGATGCCCTGAAAAGCGAGCCCTTCTCACTTTCACCAAATGCCATTGCCTGTTTCACTGCTCTAAAGAAGGCTATCGCATCAGCACCAGCCTTGGGCCTACCGAACTACCAACTGCCTTTCAAGTTGTTCGTGACTGAGAAACTGGGCCACGCCTCCGGAGTAATTACTCAACAACATCGCTCCAGACAAAGACCCAAAGGCTTCATCTCTTGCATGCTTGACCCTGCTGCCAGAGGCAGCCCCTCCTGCCTGAGGGCAGTGTTTACAGCTAGTGCCCTCCTGGATAAAACTAATGATTTTGTCTTCGACCATTTATTGACCATTTGGCACCACATGATATTTCTGCAATACTCCAACAAACTCAATCAAGGCATCTCTCCTCTCAGCATCATCTACGTTACTTGCTACTCACTGAATCGGCCACTCTTCTGCCACTTCCCAAGGGGGGAGTGGCAAAGTACGGGTACAGCCTGGATATCAAACCAGATGCCCGGATGGAATCTCAACTACCTACTATTACACCTCCACATGATGTGCAACCAGAGAACTTGTTACACTGTACCCTGTGGTTCAAAGACAACCCAGGCCCTGATGTGGACTATGAAGAGGCATTGTTCCAACTTGTGGAAATTCACATCACACTGTGTATGCAGTTACTACAGAGAGCCAGATAATACAGGCAGCCGTACTCCAGCCAATTAAGTCAGCTCAAGAAGCCGAGCTAACAGCCCTCACAGTGGCCTGCAAGCTGTCCGAAGGCCTACGTGTCAATATTTATACAGACTCAAGATATGTCCTGGGAATGACACACGACTTTGGCCTAATTTGGAAGACTAGAGGATTTCTCACAGCCACTGGTACTCCGGTGAAACATGGGGCAGCCATTGAAGAACTGATGGATGCTTTGGTGCTTCCTGCAGAAGTGGCAGTGTTAAAAGTAAAAGCCCATGGAAGGCTAGACTCAGAGGAAGTGCGAGGTAACCACTTGGCTGATCAAGCCGCCAAGGAAGCAGCACGAAAAGGGTGGGAGGTGGACAGAAGAGTGGCCACTGACACAGTACCTATTTACACAATGCAGACATTACCTACAGATCTACGCACTGGTCATTGTGGATATGTTCTCAGGATGGCCAGAAGCCTTCCCAGTGGCTAATCTCACTGCAAGGACCACGGCCAAACACTTTCTGACGGAAATTGTCTGCCGGTACGGAGTTCCAGAAGTTATTGAAAGCGACCAAGGAACCTCCTTCACTGCCTCATTGACACGGGAAGTCTGGTCAGCACTGGGGGTGACCCTTGCCTTCCACACGCCATATCACCCACAGAGTAGCGGTAAGGCAGAACGCATGAATGGCACGTTGAAAGCCAGAATGCTTAAAATGTTCCAGGAGACTAACATGCCCTGGCCTGAGAGTCTTCCATTAGCATTATTTAGCGTGAGGTACACCCCTGGGGGAAAATACAATTTATCTCCCTATGAGATTTTATTTGGCACAGCACCAAGGTTAGGTTGTCATTTCTCCCAACAGCGTCAGATTCAGTCAGATGATATGGTAGATTATGTAACTGTTCTCTCTCATACCTTGACCAAACTCCATGCCCAAGTGTTTTCTTCTATTCCAGATCCTGAGTCAAATACAGGTACACGCAAGTTGCTTCCAGGTGACTGGGTTATGGTCAAGAAATTCCTCAGGAAGCACACTCTTGAGCCAAGATTTGATGGTCCTTACCAAGTGCTGCTAATCACGGCTACCTCAGTAAAGCTGGCCGGAAAAAAGTTCATGGATACACGCCTCGCATTGCAAGAAAGTGCCTGCTCCAGAAGAAGCTGTCCCTGCTGAGCCATGAATTCATTGTGTTTCTTATGTTTTCTTTTTGCTACTAAACTTTACAGGGGCCCAGCAGGTGGCCATAACCAAAGATAACCATGTTTACACCCTTTAGTACAATTCCTCAAACACAGATGTAGCTACATTTACCTTTGATTTTTGTGATATTGTTGTTTGCACTTTTCCACAAACACAACGCGCTGCTATACATATAAATACAAAGACATACCTGACGAAAAAGACCCATACATCTGTATGGCAGGGGGTGCATGGGGACATTCCTGTAGTTCTTGGAAAGCAGCCGGGTGGAACACAGGTAGATCATGGGGATATAGACCTCAGAATGCCTTAGACAGAATTGACAAAGATGGGAAATCACTACTCTCTAGAATGACCTTAAGTCAACACCAATCAAACTTACCCTAAACATAGAATGCCCCAGTCCAGGAGATGCAGAAGAGTATGTAATGGGCATGTAATGGAAGGGCGGTGACTCATATAACAAGTTGGGGACATTCTACCTGCAAGACACGCTTAACTCATCTGACTGGGTAGGAACTACACATATGACTATTAACCCACTAAAACCTCACATCAAGACTTTACATGACATGGTTGCTATTGCTAACCCTACTTTGAAGATACCATGGCAGTGGAAACTGGGTTCTCAGACACTAACCTATGGCTAGAGTGGATGAGATACAATGCTAACTCACACAATAAGACTAACTGCTGGGTACGGTGCCTTTGAATCTACCTCCTGATGTAGAATTATGTGTTTTAAGCTTTTATGCACAATCCACCACTAACTCTTCAATGTGTGAATTATGGAAGAAGGTCTACCCGATTACCCGGGGACACATTAGACCACCTTATCGAGTCACGGTGTACCCAGGTAACTACACTTGCTATTTAATACCTAAGAACACAGGTACATTTATGGGAAAATTCCCATCTGGTTATTGCTCTACCTATCATAATCCACCCACGACACTGTTAATGAACTATGCAAAAACAGTTGGGAATATTTATTGGCTTTGTGGTGGTAAGCAACTGAGATCCCAACTAACGGGACTATGGTGGGGAGAATGCACACTAACTAAGGCCATAATGCCTATCCATATTATCCCGGATGGCCATCATAATACATTTGATCCTACATACACTCCAGAGTCAAAAGGGAAGCCCCAATCCATGGTGGCTTTGATCCACATGTTTATATTGATGCCATTGGTGTGCCAAGGGGGGGTACCCAACGAATTAAAAGCTAGGGATGAGGTTGCCGCTGGCTTTGAGTCCCTGATTCCATTAATCACTGTCAATGAGAATGTTAATTGGATTAATTATATCTATTACAACCAACAGCGGTTTGTTAACTATACTGGAGATGCCCTACAGGGCCTAGCAAGCTACCACCCAAATGACATTTCAATATAGAATGGCTCTGGATATGATTTTAGCAGAAAAGGGGGGCGTATGTAAAATCCTCCCCGAGACCATGACATGCTGTACATTCATTCCAGATAATACTGGGCCCCATGGTAAGGTAACTATGGTAATAGAAAAATTAGATAACCTTTCAGATGAACTAAAAGGAACTCAGGGGTCACTAACGTATGGGACAGATGGTTTGGATCGATGAATGGTTGGCAGAGAACCCTATTCCAAGTCGGGACAGCAGTCCTTACAGTGTTCATTATCTTCCTATTTCTAACATAGGTATTTGCAAAAGACAGTAGGGAAGACTGTAGACAACGTAACCCCTACTTTCTTACATCAAGACGTCACTGACCTAGGATGTGACACACCACATACACCCCTTCAGCCCCACCAGCCCAGACAGACAACTGCATTTCTGTAGGGATAGCATAGGGAAAGCGTCTGTCTCTACAGGCGAGTCTCACGTGCGGAGATGTGGTGGACTAGCCGCCGCGGTTTACCCACGGAGTGAAGTGTTCGATGCTTGTTAAGACAGATGAGCTGCAGGCAGCTAGGGACATGTTAGGGACAGTAGCAGTTGTTATGGTAAATAGCCATTTTAAGGGGGGACTGTTGTGGAAATGAGATATGGACATATTTTTAGCTAGTAAAATGTCTATTTACCCCATTTAGTTATACTCAATATTATTCAATAAATTACTAAACTGACCACTAGATGTCATTCAGGAGTACCCCACCCATCGACAAAACACTCTAATTTTCAAGATGGCGCTGGAATCCGGGGGAGAACTCCATGACGACAGTAATGACATAAGAAGGCACACTCAGTAGGACGTGCTTTGAATAAAACACTTAACACTTAACCAATTACTGATGTATTATTTTATGTTATCTCTGACAGTGTTTATGATGTAATTGTGCTTTATAAGGGACCTGCCGTCCCCTCTGAATAAACATTCCTCAAGTTATTCAACTACCTGAAACTTGTGTCTGGTGTGAATTACTTCAGGGAGCGTGCACACATTGTTTCATTAATTTGGCCAGGGGCAGATACACAAGGAATAATCAATCAATTGAGTTGATTTCCACTTCAAGGAGAAACAGGGCTTTAATTTAACATTAACTATTGATATATGGAACATAATCTATTATGAATAAAATTTAATAAAATGTGAGAAAATAAGATTTATTTTTTTTAAATTTGTAGTTCCGCCTCACAATAGCCACTTAGTCACAAACACTGGCCAAAGTAAGCGTTCATATTTGTTTTTGTGTGAAAAAAGGAAAAAAACTAATATTTGGCCAGTGTTTGTGGCTAAGTGGCTACTAAGAAAGACTGGACATACTCCACTTGCAATACCTTGGGTTGTCTACTTTTGCAAATGGTATGCCATCATGGGGGTAATTCTCATTCCTGGGATACCATACGCTCTCAAAGACAACATAATTAATCTGGCAAATTTCAATGTCAAAACAATGAAATGCAAGCCTTATATGTGACTCTCTAACTTTCCAAAACACCATAAAACCTGTACATGGGGGGTACTGTTATTCTCGGGAGACTTCACTAAACACAAATATTAGTGTTTTAAAACAGTAAAACATATTACAACAATAATATAGTCCATAAAAGTGTTGTTCGTTTGTAATAAATGCAAAAAACGTCACTTTTACTTAAAATATCATCGTTGTAATACAATTTACCAGTTTGAAACACTAATATTTGAGTTCAGTGAAGTCTCCCGAGTAAAACAGTACCCCCTATGTATAGGTTTTATGGTGTCTTGGAGAGTTACAGGGTCAAATATAGTGCTTGCAAATTAAATTCTCTGCACTTTCTCCCTGTGTTGTCAGGCATGTCAATCAAATTTTAATTAATCAAATCACATAATTATGTTAAAAGATTACTTAAATATACATGTAGAATTTTAATATATATGCATTTATAGGTATTTAAATTCTACGTGAATACTAATGTAATCTTTTATGTAATTATATTTATTTATCTATATATATATATATATATTTGCGGTTATTTGTATTTTATATATAGAATGTCATTCTAAGTGTATTTTGTTACCAATATATACATATTAATAACAAAATACAGTTAGAATGAAATTACATATGAATATATAATTTATATTAAATTTTGTTTCAATATTTTATTTATTTGTTTTATTATTTTATTTATTATGGTAATTATATGTATATATATATATATAATATATGTGCAAAAATAGATAGATTGGCACTCACCCTATCTCCAGTTCAATGAATATCTTGATGCCTTGGTGCAATCCCACATTATAAGGTATATAGAAAGGAATAAGGCACATCCAAAATCAGACAATCCATTTACAAACACTGGGGAATGCTTCGATCCGACAAAACACTACCCAACTGGTTTCAGGAGACACCAATCCTGAGCTATAAAAGGAATAAAAATCTAAAGGATCTCTTGGTGAAGAATGTTCCTGTAGCATGCTATCGCAAAACCACAATGATTTCTAAGAAGGGATGTTATAAATGCAGTGGATGTGTGACATGTGGTCACATGATCAGTGGAACGACTTTCGCACACCCTCACAGTGGCCAAAAAATCAAAATACCACATTATATTACCTGTACCACTGACCATGTGATATACATGACCACATGTCCCTGCGGTCTCTCATATGTGGGCAAAACCGACTTGACAGTGCGTGATCGGATACGAGGACATCGGTCCATGATTATGATGGCATTCAGAGACCAACATAGTGGCTAGCCTGTTGCTAAACATTTTTTGACCATGGAACATAGACTACCCACTTTACGGTTTGTTGCCATCGATCACATCCCCCCGATGCCGAGAGGAGGTGATAGATCTAAATTGTTGTTACAACGAGAGGCCCAATGGATACATCGATTGAATACAGTTGCACCTAAAGGGCTGAATGAGAACATAATATTCTCCATGTTTTTGTGAGATATTGACACATATTTTCTATATATAGCTTTTCTCTATATATAGTTTTTCCCCTTTTTTGTATATAGTTCTTGTGGTCTTTTGTATATAGAATGTAATAGTGAGCACGATAATTATTGGGATGGGGATGATTATTATGAGTATGATTATATACCTTTGGTGGAGATAGCTCTTTTTTCCTGTTTGAAGTAGTTTTCAGATGGAGGATGATCTAATAGCTCTTTAAGAGTTAATATTGTTGGATATTTGTACTTAAGGTGCACCTCCCCAGTTATGATTTCTTTTCTTAAATGGTTGTTATATACTCTTAGGACAGTAAATGTCCGCTATTTATGAGTTACTATGCTAGAGTTTTGTTCCAGATGATATTGTTATTGCTGCATCCTGCTTTTGCAATATGAGATATCTATCATGTAGAATAATATTGCTGTTTCTTCCTTGTATTGTTTGATATGTTCGAAGAAGGTAGACTAATATTATATATTGGGAATTATGAAGTATGCATGTTTGATTTTCACTGGGTTTATTTATGTTTCATTTTGCACATTATTAGTTGGTTTTATTCACTCATCACTGCATCACTTCATTAACACTATATATAGCTGTGTGAATACCACTGGCTATTCTTATATGACATAGATTGATTACATATTCACATTTCCTGGCCATATCCATGGCAGCACAACAATGGATAGCTCCTCCCCTATCCCTAATTAGACAGGAACTAATTAAAATAAAAGGTACAAATACCCCCTCCTACCTCCTCCTCTGTAATAAACGTTTAACTCGCAAGTTGGAATAAACTTGGAATTAAGAATAACATTAATAACTAAAAATAATAACTTAAAAACCGAGTGTAAAGTCAGAGTCCACACTCCTTGCTTTCGGCAATTCAATAATATTTATTAATAAAGGCTAATCAAACAAATAAACAATACATATACATTTGAAATAGGCTAGTATATGTTGCTACTAAAACTAATCATTGACTGAATGGAAAGTAGGCTAAATTAACATAGTAAAACAGGCATAGACGTGATACAGTTACCACTCCATTGATCACCACCTGAGAGTAAGAGAGAGAGGGGGTGTGTATAGTGGGGAGAGGGGAGAGAGGAGAGAGAAGGTGAAGAGAGGTAATTCAAAAAGAGAGAGAGGATGTGCTATTCACAGGGCTTTAAACAGGTTAGCCCCTCCTTCTGCTGGACACACCTCCCTCACTCAATCCCTTAGGATGTAACAGAACCAGAGTGCCTCCTCGGGGAAGGGGTATTGCATTGGAAGGGAATGGAGGAGGAGTTTATCAACAACCCAACTGATTTTACCTGGTGAAAGGCCATGTGCTTCACAGAGGACTCCATTATTGCCTAAGGGTGGAATGGGGGCTTGAATCCCTGTATTAGAACACAATAACACTTCATTGGCATACAGTTTGGCTGTTAATCACATCCCCCCACTTATTACATCCTCCCTCACTCTTTTTGTTCCTGTCCTATCCCTATAGGACCAAATCAGTCTATTTCAGGACTATAATCACTTTTTCTTTTCTGGCTTACCTGAGGGTTTTTACCTTCTGCCCCCAAGGGAGTTCAGCCTCTCTTCCTTGGGAAGCTTCAGTATCCGGCCCTGTGCAAAGGTGTCCCCCTGAAGATACCCCCTTAGTGACCAGGGGTTTACTTGCAGTGACCCTAGGGGTAGCAAGAGAAAAAAATGCCAATAACTCTTATTCCCTGCAGTGACCAAGAGTTAGCAGGAAGTGGCGAGAAGACTTTATCCTGGATGGATCAGTATATTTCTCCATATTGACAGCCCACATGTATGTATACACACAAATACTTTTTCATATATTCTGTATTTAGTATACTTATATATGTGTGTTCCCCCTCCTGCCCAATCAGTTTTTCTACATACCTCTTTTATTAATATTAATACTGCCATGCCTTTCCGGCGTCCTGTAGTTCATTTTGCGCATGTGTGCCGTTTTCGAGCGTGCACGCTAACTAATTTGCGTGCACGCTGAGTTCGCGCGTGCGCCCTGCCCACCCGTGAGGCAGTTTCGATGCCTCCCATTCGGGCTTGGCTTCCGGGTTTGCCGCGCATGCGCATATAACAATTAGTGTTTTTACTCGTTCGGTGCATGCGCGGATAGGCAGTGACATCAGATATGATGTCACACGCCTATTTAAGCGCCAAAATTGAATAAAATCATTGCCTGATGACTTCATTAGGTCTCAAAGGACCTGCTTTATTTCAGAATCCAAATTTGAAAAACTTCTGAATATTTCATGTGTATCTGAAGGTAGGTTTTGCTTCCTTAAAGGTATATACATATTTTTTCTCTTTCTTTCCTCTTTTGCATTCAATAACAATAAATTATTTTACCTAGACTATCCATAAGCAATTCCAATATGGAGAAAGATAAAAAGAGATCAATCTCTTCTGATTCAGACTCTTCTGGATATAAAAATAGGTCACACTCTAAGAGTTATAGGTAAGCCATATCATTTTTTCTTTATATAGGTGTGATACATAAAATAAAAGAGAGCTAATATGAGATATTTCCCTGTCATGATAGTTCTACGGGAAAGAAAACGGGGA